GGGGAGCAGCGGCGAGGTGTCCCACGGTCTCGCGCGCCGGGCGGGGGGCGCCTGCCGGGCAGTGGCCATCAGCCCGGACGTTCGGCGGCTGCCGAGGCTCGAGAGTAGCCGGGCTGCGCGGGCAGTCCTCTCTGCCTTCTCTCATCCCCTCCGCCTCCCCCTCTTCTTTACCCGCCGGTCCCTCGTCCTTTTACCCTTCTCCCCGCTCTCCACTCCTCGGCCGCAGCAACTCTGACTTGGCACCGCCATCCTGAGCGCCACCCAAGGGGAGAGCGGGGATGTCCCCTCACCAGCGCACGTCTAACTCACCGTGAGACCCCCAACCCCGGCGTCACCCAGCACTTGCAGATGCCCTGGTCACGCCTACATCTGCAGTGCTGGTCCTCACAAGTTCATGGGGAGACCCCAAGTGGGACCAGCCCAGGGCCGCGGCCAGGAGGGGAGGGCGGCGCCGTCCCTCGCCCCGTTGGGGATTTGAAGCCTGCTTGTGGTATACTGTGAGGAGCTTACCTCCCTTCTGAGAAAGGAGTACTATAAAAAGCTTTTGTTGATTTTGGACAGGGCCTTTTGGGGACCTAGAAGTTGCGGCCCCCCCCCCCCCAGTATCTACATAAGAGTGGGGAACAACTCAGCAGGGAGCAGTGAGTTTACTGGTTGGGCTTTATTTTTTGGTGAAAGATCTTACTGGAAACACTTATTTCCCCTATACACGACTCAAGATCTTTTCATTACACCTCCCCCATCCCACCCACTTTCTTCTTTCTGGAATGAAGTGATTTTTTCCCCTTCCAAGGCGTTTTAGAAGGTGTCAAACAAATGACAAATTATTTTTAGAGCAATTTCTTTCACCGCTGATGAAGGCTAAAGCACTTGGGTGTGCATCGATGAATTAACTCCAAGTGTATCCATCAATACCACCAACCATTCATCTTAGGTTGGCAGGGGATAAAGCTCTCACCCGAGAGTTGGGAGCCTTTCGTAAAATTATTTAAAACGGGGGTGTTCATGTCTCATACTGTAACTCACCTTCTAAAAGTTTTGCCCTTTGGGCTTGAATCCAGCCCATGACTGACCCTTTCTTTTTAGGACTGTGGTTTGTAAACTCCATTCTTCTGCTAGGAACATGAAACCTCAAAGCATGTACTGCTTTTTGATCCCAGGATAGCAGTACAACTAAGTAGTTAATTGGGTAATTAAAATAAAACAAAGACTAAAAGCCTTAAAACCCAAAAGAACAGATTGACTACTTCCTATCATGTTATCTTAACTCTAAACTAAGGAAAATTAACTGCTTTCAGGCCAAGAAGCTTGGCAGATTACCACCAGCACCAGTGCTAGGGTCACGAATTTGGGGTGTGACATTTTATTTTCTTCCCAAACTTGGCAAGTCATAAACTGATTTACTGATGATGCTATTTCTTTAAATTGTCAACAAGTGTGGTTCATTTAGTCCAAGGTTCCTGGGGGGAATTTCAGAGCACTGCTCTATAATCAGAAATCAGGTTGGTGTAGAAGTAGATTCATGAATTAAAGGCAAAGTTACTCATTTAGCCAAAACTTATTAAGTAGCTTCAAAGGATGTAAATAAGACATGATGATTATTTTTTTTTTGTAGCTATTTCTTAATGTAAAATTTAACAGGAAAATGACATGAAGACTATACAGGCAGTGTACATACTCTTCAAAACAAATGGCAATAGCTCAGAAATTCTGGGTATAAGGGAAATTTATAATCTTCATTAAAACACAGTTAGAACAACACAGCTATTATCAGAGTACATGAACACACACACACACACACACACACACACTTCAATGTCCTACTTCCCCGACTTCCTAACACAGCAATAGGATCTGTTAGAATTAATGTTACTGGCTTCAACTTTCACTGAGTGAGTCATGCAAGGTGACTGTATTTTAGGCAAATCATTAAATAGAGACTCCTATGTCTCAGGCCTTTATTTTGCCTGGAGGGGGACTTGATACGGTTCTTGGTTTGGATGACCAATGTGTATTACAGGACAGTTTGGGAAATAATCTAGGTCACTGAACTTTGAGCAGTGTTGGTAAGGCAAGAAATGTGATGGGGAAAAAATCCATAGTCAAGATAAATGCTAAGGTCATGTCGTGGATATATATCTCTTCAGACAGAATGTGCACAAAGCAAAGGAAGTCACAGACCCTCAAATAGATATACCCAGTCAACCACACGCGAGACCTTCCAATTTGGGGCTTGACAGGTTTTGGAAAGTACAGAATTTAAGATGAGGAATTATCAAAAATGACGGTGTGGAGTACCACTGTGTGGCAGGCAGGCTGGTAGGCAGGTGTCGTAGACCTAGTTCTGCAGAGCACATTTAGAAAATCCCACAAACTCGTGGCTTTGAGTGTTTCCTTTTTTGAGCTCAGCCTTATTCTTTGCCATAGAAGTCTGAGATGAAACATGCAGGCCTGGGTAGGACTCACTGTCACTTTCTATTTCCTTCTTGTTCTGGTGTCTTTCAGCTCTGCCTTTGCCTTTCACCAAGCTGCCTGAGCACCTGGTAATGGTCCGGCTGCCCTTTTAACCTACCCTATTCTTTTTAAGCTTTACATTTAGGGTTGTCAAGGCATTCTGGAGTGACAAAATAGGGAGAGAGGGAAGAAAAAAGAGTGTTAGCATTTTTCACTCCTTCTCAGTCTGCCGACTCATCCTGGGCTCCTTTAGAGCTGGGTCAACCACTAGTGGGCACAGCCTGTGCATTTCCAGCCACCGAGCAAACATCCAATGGACGTGTCAAATCCAGACCCCGTGGCTGGAGCACCCCATGGGTGTGGGGTTCTTCTAATCTGCCTCCAGAGGAAGGTTCCAGCCATACAAGCTGGCCTCTCTTTGCATCCAGGAAGCTTTACTTTCTGATGTAGCAAACTGAGTTTGGCTAAGCAGTCCTGCTCTGAGCACCAATCACAGCATGGAGTTTTAGAAAGACTTCTAAGTGTGGATGTGTTGGGCAAGGGGACATGCATGTATTTCTGAAATTTATGTCAAACTTTACAAGTGTGCTATCCAGTGCACGATTATCTAAGCTTGGTTTTATCAGTGAAGATGACTTGGACGGTACCCATAGCCAACCTGTTCTCATCTTAGCATGGCGCTAAGAACATTTGTGCAAATGATGCATTGCTTTCAGAAGGTGCTAAAACTAATTCTATACTATTTTGCACATTTTCCACACGGAACCATTTCTTTGAAAATGTTCAAATCCAGTCTTCCATGTCTCAGCAACACAAACATTGGGAATTTTGGGGAAGTGTTTTTATACATATGGTAACAAGGACAACAACCAAAGTTTTCACTCCTTTGCACATTTTGGCATCATAACTCACTCAATTGACTCATAAGCTTTCTATAAATAACATGTAGATGTCTCAAAATGGAAGCATTTATTCAAAATAGTTTCTTATGCCTTAAGGGGAAACAGTTGGGATATTTAAT